TATTGGGGATAGAAGAATTCCATCTGTTCTATGATTTCAAGTCAGCCATGACAGTTGTGTATCAGAAACATATTGAGATACTAACTTTACATGTTGCAGTTTTAAAAATTAAAGCATAAAAAATTTTAAGAGCCAGAAAATGTGAAAACCATTTTCCAGAGAAAGTGGAAACAGGAGACAAGAGGTTAGAGTGGAGGAAAAAAGGAGGAAGAAGGGAAACAATCGCTGGAATGAGGAAAATTAAGGTAATAATTAGACAATAAAGGAATGGCAAAAGAAGGAAAAACTGACCATTTAAAGGGGAAGAGAAGTCGGTGAGACTGCTGTATTGATTGGTGGGCTGGCACATTTTGGTTGAGCGTGTATTCTTAAGAGGTTGATTCAGGTAAAAATATGTAAAGAGAGTTAATAAATAACAATATTGTTTGTCTTAGGCATAGAGCATAGAGTACATAAAAGAATGGATCAGAACCATCCCTTTTCAAAGCAACCTGGTATGAAGCCATCTGTCAATTGTCTCTTGAGTTATTTGTCTGCTTTCTATGCTCTTGGAATAGAATTCAGCTGCTTAACAAAAACCAAATAAGGAAATGTTCTGAATGTACATATGTGCCATTTCTGTTGATTTCAGTTATATTGTACTATAATTAGTCGTGGCTGAAAAGTACAACAAACGTGTGTAAATTAAAATATTAAATATTCTTATTTTGCTAAAAAAATTTTATTTTATGTATGGGTTGTATATTCCACAAGTAAGCTGAAGATCTCTTTTTTATTATTACAATCAGGAAGAATGTCTGCCTTAGAAATTTCCAAATAATAATAAAAATTCATTAGTAGTGTTTTTATTTAAAGAAAAAGTAATTCATGTTCATTGTAAACTATATTAGAAAACACCGATGAGCAGACACAAACAAAAATTATTTTTATTTCACCCTTAGAAGTCATCACTTACATAAATAACCACTGTTTGGTATATGTAGTTTGGTCTTGCTTCACTGCAACTAGGTAGGTGTAGATACTTGATTTAACGATGCTTATACTCTATACTGTTTCAGAACTTGCTTTTCAATCCCACAATTTATGAAAACCTTTCTATTGTGTTAGCTGTTATTGTGTAACATTTTCATTATGTGATTGAACCAGAATAGAATTGACTCCATTTTTCCTAATATTTTGACTATGGCAAACAATGATGTGGTCAACACCAGTGGAAATAAAACCTTGGGCATATTCCAAAAGACACACAAATCATAAAGCACTTGATGTGCATTGCCAAATTCCCCTTGTAAAATCAGTGTGCCCACTTGGATAGACCCAAGTTTGATATGAGGTAAGCTCTTTAATGGTTCTCTTGTATTGTAAGTGACATCACCAGTGAGAAGTACCTTGTGCCTGCTGTATACAGTGGCATTATATGGAATTTAGTTCTCTTTCTAATCCACTCTCATTTCGAGAAGGAATTTCACTTTCTTTTTTAATGATTTACTTATGTACACATACAAGAACTGGGGTGTAGGCCAGAGGTGAAGGGGGTGAGGTGAGGATTCACCAGAAACAGAGTGGGGAACAGAACAGTTGGATTGACTGAAACACACTGCTGAGGGGAGCAGCGGGCGAGACGAGAGAGGTCTACGGTGCCCTGTGGGTCAGCAACCTGGCCGAGGATTGAACTCGTGCTGCAGTGGCTGTGGGTAGCTTTATAGTGCTGCGTTTTAGCCCGTTGCACCACCATGGAGGCCTCAACTTTTCTACACTTAAGAACACGACGAACATTTTTTTTTCTTCATTTGGTGCATCTGTAACAGGACGGCCCCTACCGATGTGGGTTTCCATATCGTTTTCACTGGATTACAGGAATGAACACATCTATTCTACTCCATTCCTCTCTTCCATGGAATGAGATTAAACATTTCCAACTATTTGGAAAATTCTATTTATCCTTTTAACTGAAACCTAAAAGGGAAGAATTTACTTGGGGGTGTCTGTTTATCAATGTCTGAAATTCTCATTTTCCTAAGTGGAAATAAATTTTCCAGATATTCTGGATCACAGTCTCTCAATTCCATGCACATTCTATAGAGGTGTATAAAGGCAACGCCTACATCTATAAAAATAACAGGATTCACCATGCCATCTCCTAAGAAAACTGACTTTCTGAGCCTATAAAAGTCTTTAAAAGAAACAAGTTATTTCAGCACAAGTTATCCTGATGGTAGCAAAGAACATTTCCTACAAACAGCAGGATGATCATAGTTCCTGAAAGGAAACCCTGCAAATTAAGACAGAGGGAGATCAAATAATATCTGCTGAAATTCCTTCCCTCTTACAGGCCTTTCAAACTCACACTGTTGGCTATCACACCCCAGCTCTACCTGGGAAGATTAAAACCTAGAGCAGAACCTTGTTGCTGCCTATAAGGAATTCATGTCGCCCACTTGAAACAGCACAGAAATAAATGTAACACAAAAAAATCTCTCAGAAAAAACAGCGGGTGCTCCCGCAGCAAGGGGAGACAAAGAAATGGTGTGACTCTCTGAGCCACTGGTGAGGGGCTGGGGGTTTGGGGTGCTTTCACCAGCTTAGATATTTTTGTAGCAAGATCAAAATTTTCTGCCATTTCACACACACACACACGCACAATCCAAAAGTTGATCTTTAAATTTAGCCTATTTGGGGTGACTTGGTGATGGGAAACCCGTGGGGATTACAATTGAGATGGAAAAAAAATGTACAAAATTATGTAAAAATAAATTTTTGTAATTAAAAAAAAATTTTTTAAATTAAAAAAATTTAGCCTATTTGTCTGCTCTGAAGCCACTGTATCCCCAGTGTTTAAGAATCAAAAAAAAAAAAAAAAAAATCTTACTGAGAAATACTGCACAGGACAATTTTCATATTAATTTCCATTACCTGTTTCAAAATATCTGCTTCATTTCTTTTAAAATGCCACCTTGGCCCTTCCTGGTGGCCAAGGGGCTAAACCTCAGCACTTTGAAGCTGTCCCGTGGCACCAGTTTGATTCCCGGCCCCAGGGGTGACCCACATGGCGCGGCAGACCTCTCCTGGCCCGCCCGCTGCTCCCCTCAGCAGTGTACTTTATCAATCTGCCTGTCCTGCTCCCTTCTCTGTCTCTGGTGAATCTCCACATCTCTGACCTGTACCCCAGTTCTTGTATACATAAATACATCTTTTTTTAAAAAATGAAATGACACTGTGGTTTATTTTATGTGATTGTTAACTGCACAAAGAGTTTCCTTCTCGTTGGCCTATTGTGAAGGGTAAACCCTCTCTTTTCTCACCCTTTATGTAGTTCTTTTTTTTTTTTTTTAAAGATTTGTCTATTCATAAGAATTGGGGTACAGGCCAGAAGTACAGGGGTAGTGAGAGGATTCACCAGAGACAGAGTGGGGAGCAGAACAGGCAGATTGACGAAATACACTGCTGAGGGGAAAAGCAGGCGAGACAGGAGAGGTCTGCTGCACCACATGAGTCAGCTCCAGGGCCTGGGATCGAACTCTCACTGAGGTGGCTGCAGCTTGCTTGCAGTACTGCATCCTAACCTGTAGCGCCACCAGGGAGGGCCCTATCTAGTTCTATTTTTGACATTGATTTTTTTTTTTTTTTTTTTTTGCCTGTTGCTTCTCTTCATGCCATGACCCACTAATTCCAATATGTTAAAATCCTAAAGCAGTCGCGGAAGCTTGCTTTACTAATAAGGTGGTTGTCATATATTTATTCATTTTCTGTAGCTATCAAAATCAGAGGTTTCTAGGCTCATTTTTAATGTGAGTGAAACGAATAAAATGATGACATTAGCATTAGAAATAGTTACCATTGAAAGTTCAAGGATTTAAACCATTTTTAAAAGTCAGTTCTTAATTACCCTTAATAACATTCCCTTGCCCCCTCCTCTGTTATAACCTCTTAAAAAACAGTGAGACATCTGACCCGCCTGCTGCTCCCCTCAGCAGTGTACTTTGTCGATCTGCCTGTTCTGCTCCCCACTCTGTCTCTGGTGAATCCTCTCACCGCCCCTGAGCCTCTGGCCTGTACCCCAGTTCTGTATGCACAAATAAATAAATCTTTAAAAAAAAAAAAAAAAACAGTGAGACAAATTTGTGTTTGACAAAACTTTAAATCTTCAGAAAGGTCTTATCTTTTGTTGGCGAATCTATCACTGGTAGGATTTTCCTGCCACACAGGCTTTTCAGTTCATACAAATGATTTACATTTAATTCAATTAGTCTTATGCACTCCAAATTATGACAAATATACACAGTACTTGATATTTTTTGATAAAACCTGTTTGCCTGCTTTTTAAAGCACTAAGTGAGATTGTCATTCGGGACCTCATGCTCACGAGCTTTTTTCTTGGCTCCTATTAGGTGGTTGGAACAGTTAGTTCCCAAACATTTCAGCGCACTGAGATTACATATGTGATTCTTTTAAGTGGGTTCTAATGTTTCTATAACCTGATAAAATGCTATTAATCCTTTGTAGCCACTTTTTAAAAAGTACTTTGTGTGCTGAAAACAAGCTCAGAAACTCACAGAAGTTTTATGTGAGGTAATATTATCCTTACATCAGCATAAATTAATTCTTGCCATAAAAATGTTGGTGAATTCTGGGAGGGAAATAAAACTTATCAGTGTTTATGTGTGATGAGTCCAAAAAGTAAAAAAGAGAAATCACTTACCGCTCATGCTTTTGTGATTTGCATTATCTGCTGCAGTGACGGTTATGCATAATGTTCTCAGATGTTTGATACTATTTAGGCGAATTTGGAATGACCTCGGGATGATCCCTCCAGTCCAGCTGCTTAACTCTAAATTCTATTTAATAACAGTTTATGAAATCAGCACATCTCCTCAGAACTCTCTGATGGGTTGCAAGTGATCCAGCAGACAAAAGCATCCTGACCGGCCAGTTAGATAGATTTAACAGAAGGAATTCGTGAGTAACCACGAAGCTGCACAGAGGGAGAGTTGCATCTTTTTATTAAAATCCTCACAAATGCATAAGTATGGACTGTGTGCTCAGCTTCTCAAATTCCTGGAAAATTATCACACGTTTATTGACTTGCAATTCATGACATGGCATAAGCCTAAGAACTACATAGAACAAAAGTATCCACGTAATTTTTGGAGGACACACCCTATGCGCTGCAAATACATGTTTTCTTGCAGACATTTGTCTGCTGGTAAAGGTTTCGCTAATACAAGTTTCCCAATGTAGGCTTTGTGGCCATGGGAGTGAGTGTTCTGTGTCAGGTAAAGTGTGGTTGTCTGTAACGTTTGCTCGGGTTTCAAATGTATTTTGCCTTTTCTGAAGCAAGAGCCAGCCTGCGGATGTTGGATATGCAGCCAGCTGCAGCTTCCTGGAGCTCCTCATCCGGGGACCCGACCATATCCAGCAGAAGCTGTCACCCAGAAAACAGGAGAGGGAAATGAGAAGCAAATCAGGAATCCAAAAAAAAAAAAAAAAAAAAAAAAAAGTTAGGCTATAACCGTGGTTTAAATATTAAATATTCTTTGTTTGTGGAAATAGCACTGCATTATAGTTAAATATTCTTAAAAGTCACCAAAATATAAATGATAACCTAATCAGATACAGGCATTTCTCATGTTTTTATTTGAGGGTGCTGAATAAGAATCTTCTTTCTCCTTTCTTTGGTCTTCTACCTGCTATGGATCCTGCTTTGAAACATCTCTTATATCCTTTCTGACGTTTCTGCCTCTCAGGAAAAACCAACAGCATCCCCCCACCTGCGTCACTGGTGTGTCCTCTTTGATTTAATCTCTCTACAGTACAATCCACTTGTTCATGCCCCGACCTAAGATATCAGACCCTTTGTAGAGACTCTCATTGAACTCTCAAAGTCTACAAGCCCAGTCTAATAACCAGTCCTTATAAGATTTCCGTGCTCTTGCCTCAGTTTACTTTTCTACCCATGATCACACTTCCTTATGTCTCTTTCCATCCCTCTAACTAAAATACCTTCCCACCCCCTTTCCTGGCTTTCTAAATATTACCATGACCCAGATGGCCTTTCCACAAAACCTTTGCTGATTCCCATTACACAACTTATTGTCTCCCCTTCATTAGAACTCTCAGCAACTTGCTCAAATGTCTGTTGCTACATTTATAGTCTCCCTGGGATTGTCAAAGAAACTTACAATGCCATCCAGTGCATAGTGCATAGTAGATGTTAACTAAATGTCAAATAAATTTACTAGAACTTAAATCTCTATCAATTATGATTCCAATTAACATTCTGATAGAAGGCTTTAAAAATTAATTTGAATCATATGTTTTCCACCTCCATCATTGGAACCTTCCATGACGCACTAATATTTTTTCTTTCTCTAGTAATAAGTATGAAATTTGAAGACATTTCACACCTCCACAACATCAGGAAACATTAAGTAACAGCAGCCCAGTCCTGACACCAGAGAAGTTAAATACTTCTCTGCTCTATTTTTCCCTCCATGCTGCTTTCCAACCTTTATTCTTTTTTATCAAAAAAAGTCTACTTATTTTTGTAAATTATACAATCTTTTGAGAATTTAAATCAGAGGAGAGGTGAAATAGAGCTCCAGCTTCAGACCCCAACTAACTGAGTGGAGACCAGCCTTATGCCTTTAGCTCCTATCTCAAAAAGGCAGAGTCAAACAGCCAGAGAGTTCCATGACCTATATGCAGACCAGTTAACAGGGTCCCTCACTCCTGGGGGAAATCGAGATGAATGTGCTAATATACACCTTTTAAAAACATTTCAACGGTAGCCACAACTTCTTTGTCTTTACTTCCTTTGTCTGATCGTCTCCTGAGTTTTGTATGGGCCCCTGTATGCCTGGAGAGAGGAGGAAAACTGGAGAAGTGTAGACTGAGGATTTACACCAGAAAGGGTGGAGGAATCATTGTGCAAGAAGAAAACAACAGATGGGAAAGGAAAGGAGGGAGGAAGGTGGAGGGAGAGCAGCCCTTGGTTTGAAGGGAGAGTTTGGAGAGGTTGGAGTAGGGGGTTCTTTTAGAGGCAACTTGAGGATGAGCAAGATATGTCCATATGAATGTAAGAATGATAGCAGGATTTACAAAAGAATGCTCATGATTGTGTTCTCTGTTTTCAAGAGTGTGAAGCTAGGATTACAATGACTTTCAGTGGCTACTTGGTTGCCAGGCTTCTGCGTCCGGTCTGACTGTACTTGTGGGTCAGGACTGGACCTGTGTCCGCTGCCTTTGCACAGGTAAAGCATTTGAAGCCCGGCCATCGGCACTCAGTACAAAGTGCGGCTCCATAAATGGCATTCGTTTCATGGTGATTTTTCGCCAGTTACAAAGTCTGGTTCTGGAGTTTATGCTCTGGAACCTAGCCCTGCTTAGTTTGGGAGGAATGAGGAAGCAGGAATGTTGGCCCTAAGGTCTGTCTAGCCACTGTCAGCACTTGCTCCAGGCCCACCTCATCTCTGGTTGACCTCCAGGGGTATCAGGGACCCTGCTTCACTTGGCATCAGGCGTCACCACCCCCTGCCTGACTCCCTTGCAAAGCGGCCCATTGGCCTGATGCCCACTGAAACCCAACCCACATCTGCCCAGACTCCCTCCGACCAGATCGTGCTTCTGAGGTCCCCTCGCAGCATTTCCAAGAGTCCGTTAAATTTATTCCCAAGCCCTTGATGCCAGTTACATAACCTCATATTACATAAACCAGTGAATTGTGACTGTGAAATGGACTAGTCATAACATCTGGCACACTGCTGGCATCTCCGTGTGTCACAGAGAACCTGCAATTTCTCCAGGAGTCTGTGAGATAAGGGCCGCGGCACAACGTGTCTGTTCTCCACCCACCGGCTCTCATGGGACCCAACGTGTGATCAGCTGCGGGGGACCTTTCCACACTGTGCTTTTCTGCTCTCTAACCCCTCGTCCTGAATGCGCTCAGAGGTCCAGTGTCCCTTGGGGAGTTAATTTTGCTCATGTTTCTTGCATTAACCACAAGACTTCATTTTACGTCCCATATAATGGTGAGTGATTTTTTTTTTTTTTTTTTTTTTGCTTAAAAATCATCAGTGGCAGCCACCACTGTAGACTTGTAGAGGCCTTGGTAGGCAAGGGTGACAGTTTTTTTTTAAATGGTTACAGGAGGAAGCTATGGCTTGGAATGGCAGCAGAGTGGCTTCCTCACATACCTGAGTGACTCCCTGGCTTCAACCCCACAGGTTCCTAACATTTACACAACATGAAGTGATTTTATGAGCTACCAGGCTTGCTATGTGCCAGGTGGTATGATTTATTCTTTACAGGTTAATTTATTCTCCTTTGCTCTTTCTCCTGAGCCAGGAACATTCCTTTGCCAGGAACATCAAGGGTACAGAGTTGAAATTGTAGGATTTTCTCTGGGCTCGGGCTATGAATGGCTATGGATTTGACAAACACTCCTAGGACCTCTCTCCTCATGTTGCATTGTGAACTTACTGCTTTTCCTGAATACTATTCTGTTGTTCATGAATGTTACTCATGGCTTTGTGATACCCCACAGGCCAGGTAGCTAAATGCATTTTTAAAAGCTTGATTAAAATGCCACTTCCCCAAACCATTAGGGCAACACATTCTGTATATGTCTTCAGTTTGACTCAGGCTTAGGAATATACAATTTTATTTCTCTCAAAAATATCACAAGCAGGCCCTCCCTGGTGGTACAATGGCTAGTTAGGATGCCAGCACTGCAAGCTAGCCACAGCTGTTTCAGTGCGAGTTCGATCCCCAGCCCCAGAGGTGACCCACATGGCGAGGCAGACCTCTCCTGACCCACCCACTGCTCCCCTCAGCAGTGTACTTCGTCCATCTGCCTGTTCTGCTCCCCACTCCGTCTCTGGTGAAACCTTTCACCACTCTTGCACCTCTGGCTTGTACCCCAGTTCTGTATGCATAAATAAATTAAATAAAGCTTTAAAAAATATCTCAAGCAAACTGGGGCACTTAGAGGAATGATTTGAAATAAAGTTCAACATCCATATAATATAATGCAAAATCCTGCATTTGAGGGACAGCTAGCAAAGAGAAAGGAAGGGAAAGGTCACGGGTTTTCAAATCACTAACACACAGGGCGAGGTGAGGGTGGTTTGTAATGCTTTGTAACAATCACTTAAAAGGGCTACACGTCTTAGGAAAATGAGATGCAAATTGGATATTCCATGTTCCAAGTGAACATGGAATTGATATACTTTTGGGGGTATCCACCTTTTGATCTGTATACTTTTTCCAACTATAAAAAGATTTGTAATATTTAAAGAGGAAAAAACACCTTGGGTTTACCTTTTTAAAGTGTTTTTTCCTTTCCAAACTTTCCTGTTTTTAATCTCCCCTCCCCCAAATATACCCACGGAACTTAAATTTATTGGGAGTTTCATATATACACTGGAGGAACGCTAACTCCCTTGCTCTAAAACTTAATTGCATAGGGGACTTTAAAGCATCGTTCAAGCATATAACTTTTTTACAACACTGGCATGAACGGGGACTGGGAGGGGGCGTAAAACATGGGCTGTGGGCTGGCTAACACCAACACTTCCGCCAGCGTCAAAGGCTTTGATCTCAAGGCTCCTGTCTTCAGTCCACAGCTGGGACCCCTGGTTCACATCCTCTGGAAGGTGAGACACAGGTAGCCTGGGAATTGTTGTCTGCATTCAATTTTTACTTTATATCTAACAACTCATGATTTTATATATTTCACTGGATGAAACATATGGACCAATTTGAGTGATAACAGATTTTCCTGTGGTCTGACTCAACCTTGTTTGGGGTTGGAATTAGGAATTTGAACTCGAGCTGAATGAGCTCTGAAACACAAATAGCTGCATGCACACTGAGCTTAGCAGGTTTCCCAGACAGAGCATGAGTTTCCAGAGCTGATTTGAACTGTGACCCCCCATTTTGCTGCATTCCCACTTGCAAGGCACTGCAGCCTGGCGGTAGTGTGAATTCACAGCCCAGTGAAAAGAAACACTTTGAACTGTGCCTGCCTTGAACAAAGGCTTCCCAGCATTCTTGCTGGCTGGTTGTTGCTGCGATGGCAGTGGAGACTCCACAGTGGTTTCTTTCACATCCTGACTCTTGGTAATTCATTTCACATGACAGCTGCCAGCGTCATGGTCCTCAAAATACACTTCATATTTGTTGGCTTGAGCAAAACCTTTGATTCTGTTCGGGCATGAAGTGAACCCAAGGGCTCGCATTTAAGCGGTGTCAGTCTACCTCCAGGTGACCGAAGTGTCTGCCATGTTTACGTGGCCCGAGGTCCACCTGTGCAGAGCTGGCCAGTAGGTTCAGCTTGTCCCATTCAGTCCCTTTCTGGGCCGATGCTTACCCACACTTGACAAGTTGGCTCTCTGGCTTTTCTTCCACGCTGTGTGTGTCACT